AAGATAAAATGCCATCAGTCAGCCAGGTCAGAAGAAGTCGATCACAAAAGCCTAAACCAAATTTATCACAGACTTCAAGGGCCATTAAGACGAAGCCTCAGTCTCCAGCAGAAACGACAGTAAAAAGTCCTGGTTCACATCCTGAATTACCTACAAAGTCAACAGTGAAGGTTCCCCTACAAACTCCAAGCACTTCAACGTCTGAGCAACAGCTTGTAGCCACTGGCTCTGCTTTACGTTTAAATCCACCACTGACATCAGACTCAATTAATCTATTAAAGGAAATGCCATCCACAAATGAGCAGGAGAAGACAAGTTCTGAGCTAGTTAATCAGAAAGACATGGAAGCAGGATCGAATCAAAGTGCCACAGATGACCAGAACTTCACTCCAGTTACTGCTAAGAGAAACAGAAATCAAACTACTGATGACTCAGAGTCAGTCTCCAAGCTCATGGATAAAGATTCAGTTTCTCCCAGTGAAAGTAGTTGTAATGATGCAATGACATCAAATATCGTCCCAACAAATTTTGATCTTCACCCAGTCCAGGACCAGCGGGGTCAACCTGCTGTGGTTGTCAGACCGGAAGAAGAGTCGACCGTCTGCAAACATGACAGCAAAATTATTGGACAGCAGAAGAGGAATCGATTATCCAAACTCAAACCCAAGCCTAACATACCTCAGACCTCAAGATCTGCAAGGCTTAAAGCTGAAGCATCTGAAAACCAGTCAGGGCAGCATGCAGATCCTGAACACAAGGTGATAGGACTGGAACAAAACCAGACTATTTGTGAAATACTGAACAAAGATACTGATCCTGTATCAGATCCAATGTCACCGCCGACATCCGGCTCCATTGTGAGACCTCCAGAAATAAAAGAGATAGGGTCTGATGATCAGTCAGGGATGAATGCAGCAGCACCAGCTGCTAAGGAACAGGACTCTACTCTCAGTTCTGGGCTACATGAAGAACAAGAGTCAGCGTCTGTTAAGAACCTTAAAGCGGATCATAGATCTTTGATCACTAAAAGCAATCATGCACTGATTGATCGAACGGTTAAAGAACCACAATTTGGTCAAGAGTCAAACCTGAACTCTGAAGCTGCTTCAGAAACAAGCGACCATTCTGAAGCTTACATTACAGCCTCAGAAGTCATTCCAAAGGAAGATAAAGTGCCATCAGTCAGCCAGGTCAGAAGGAGTCGATCACAAAAGCCTAAACCAAATTTATCACAGACTTCAAGGGCCATTAAGACAAAGCCTCAGTCTCCAGCAGAAACAACAGTAAAAAGTCCTGGTTCACANGTCATTCCAAAGGAAGATAAAATGCCATCAGTCAGCCAGGTCAGAAGAAGTCGATCACAAAAGCCTAAACCAAATTTATCACAGACTTCAAGACCATCAAGGTCAAAGCACGAAGACAAAGCTCCGGTGCAACCTAAACTCAGGGAACAGTGGACTGCCATGGAGGAGGAGAAGTGTTTTAAGTTCACTGATGCAAACCTGACACCTCAGGATGGAGTGAGTGAAAGTATGAATGCTGCGCCAACAGTTGATTCACCTTCAACCAGTTTACAAAAGGGGAGCACTTTCAACATAGATGCTTTGGTCCAAGACCGCACTAAACCTACGAATGTGGGTAACTGGCCTGCCGGTGATCAGCAGGAGGAAAAATCAAATGCTGAAAAGTCAATAGAAAAACCACAAAGTCCAAACCCTGAAGAAGAAAGAGAAACCGAGAAAAAGACACTGACCAACGTTGGACAAGTTTCAACTTCAGTTGTCACAGAAAAAAGCACACCAACAAGAAGACAAAGGTTCTCCAAACCCAAGCCTAATCTGAAGTCGAGCTGTGGAGTTGGAAAGCTGCAATCAGACAAGCACAGTAGACCTTCTGAAGAGAAGCCCTCTGCCGTTTCACTGGAACAACAGACAGATTCTTGTAAAATGACAATGTCAGATAATGATCCAGGTGAGCCTGAATCCCTTTCATCTGGGGTTGGCGGCTTGGATATGCCGTCACTGGTCTACAGCTCAAATACCCAAACAGATGCTCCTCAGACTGCAATAACGAACATCCCTTCAACTTCTAATACCAGTGTCTCACCTCCTAAGAGAGGCTCCTCTGTCCAAGGGTAAGACATACATGTGCTGGTAAATTCATTTCCTTTGTGTTTTTTCTACTATTAGGGAATAAACCCTCTCCCTTTATTTTTGCTTGGTTCACCTTTTAAAGTAGTGATGTAACACCATCAGAGTTAACAGGCTCTTCTAAGGCATCAGGAAAAGCTGCCAGAGGGAGGCTGATTAAACCTAAACCCAACCTGAGATGCAGCAGTCGTCCCCAGCAAACCCAGGCAGTTGGAAAGACACAATCAACAGGTTCAGGTTCGATAGCCCTTCCTGTTCACTAGGCTGTCCTACATAGGTGGTTGTGGTTTTAATGGTTCAGCTAATGTGATCTAAACTTGTTTTTCTTTTCTGTAGACTCTGATAGTTCCTCACACCCCCTTAGAACCTCTGGTGATCAAAAACCTGCGTCTGAACTCTGTGCACGCAGCCAGGAGCAGGAAGAAAGACTAATTAGGAAGCAAAATAAAAAAGACACCAATTCAAATAATGCTTCTCAATGTGAGCATAAAGAAGGATCCACTAGCGAGGTAGGACAAATACACGCCTTTACTAATATTTCTCTTAAATGATTCATCCTGTACTAATATATATAATTTTCAACAGTTTTGCAAATTCCCTCTACATTTTTCCTGTAATAACTATATAAACGGTTCCTCTATAACTCAGTAATGTTGTGGCCAGTAAGTTTGCTTTTTGTGAACTCACTTTTTTAAGACACATTGTGGTTTAATGATATTTTTTCAGATAAAAAAAAAAAAAACATTAATGCCTTAATAATATTTAGAAAAAGAAGACTCTCTTATTCCCCTGTGGAACAGTCTTCAGATGATCTAGTTTCTATAATGGGATTTATAGACTGTATAAACCTGAACAGAAAGAGAGAGAAGGCGCCCTCTAATGTTTGGTAGCTGTAATTACGTTGGTTGTACTTAAACATGGAAGCATTAGAAAGGCATCTCGAAGTGTTATTTAGGTATTTTAAAGCATTTTCCCTGAATATCCTAGATTATTACTTCTTTTTTAAATGTGACTATGATTAATCAAAGTAGTAAAGATGATATCCAATTTGTTGCCAAAGCAAAAACATAAATGCCTGTTTAACATTCATATTTTACCAGAAAGAGGAATTTAGATGATCTTATTTAAAGGCAGTAAGGGAGTTCACATACCTTAATACTCATGACATATAATAAAAGATTTAATTCTTATGTGTTAGACACACAGAAAGCAGTACATGATAGTGAAGCTCAAGGGGTTATTAGTGTTTTAAAATATCATATTTATCCAACCAACTGCCTTTGGAAGTGATGTTCAATAAAACTATAGTTGAACTTCCAAGAAAAACGTTTGTGTTTGTAACTGTAGCATTTTAAATGTGGATGAAGTATAAAGGGTGTGAATGCCTTTACAAGACTCTGGAACCTCCTTTTAATAAATAGGGCGATGAAGCAATTTGTCTAGTTTGAAAAGTCAGCACTTTGATCATGGATGGAATGTGCTACACAAAAATATGCTGTTGCATTCCCTCAAATTTCTCACTTTGATTCCTTTAATCTTAGCATCAAACATCAAGCACCGAGGGGATTCAGAGAGATTCGCTCCTGTCAGCACGTAAGTCAGTCCGAGATGATCCTTCCCTCAAAAAATCTTGTTTGAAGTTTGTATTCTGTAGCTGATTTCTCTTTCCTGATCGTTTTTGTCTGAATGATGCCGCTTCTTCTCTCAGTGCTCCCAGAACAAGTGCCTTCAGATCCAGATGAACCATTTTTTATCCTTTCTCTGACTGAGATCCCAGTCTCATCAGCAGGGGGAGTGGGAATGAGTGAAGCTGAGAATCTCACTTACCTTCCTGCAACAGATACATCGGGACAGCAGTCAAGGTTAGTGATAAAACTGCCTCTCCACCTAGAAAGGTTTGGAATGTTGAGTTTTCTGTCTGAATCCTCCAACTTTCCTCTCATTGCAGCACTTCTGGGGTTCCCTCTCATTGCAGCACTTCTGGGGTTCCCTCCCTTTGCAGCACCACTGGGGCGAGTTTGGAATCCGGAGTGCACCCTGAAATTCCTGTGGAGCCGATAGCCATCAACACCATTGCAGAGCCAAGTAAAACGATCGATGATGTAGCTGACAAGAAAAGTCGACGGACAAGGTGAGAAAGAACATCTGTGTAATTTATCATGTTGTCTTATAAGGTAACTTTGACTCGTATTTAAATTGTCTTCTTTTACTTAAACACAGAAAAGCCAAAGCTTCTACCTCCAGCATTTCTGAACCAAGCGTTACTGAAAGCAGGAATCCCCCGACCAGGAAAGCAGCAAAAACTAGAAGTAGAGGGAAATCCACATCAGGAGCGTCACATATGTCCTCATCAGAGCCTAACTTGTCTGGATCAAATTATAGTATTCCCAGAAAAACAAAATCACCAACAACTGTGGGGGTTCACATCGACCTGACTTCTTCATCTACGGTAAAGAGGATACAGATTTGTTTCAGCTCCACCGTCCGTTTGATGAAAACTAACCTTTTACTCTATCCTGCAGGCTCCGACTTCACCTGAACGGGATAGCGGCTTCGTTGAAGAGGAGCCTACCAGCGTGTCGCAGTTCTTCCTAAGTGACATTTTTACAGAAGTGGAAGAGGAATAAAAGCACTTTTGTATCATGCCTGCAGTAGTTTCTTCAGGAATCTATTTACTTTTTCTATTTTTTTTTTATCTGATATATCCTTTAAACTAGAATTTTGGTTTTTAAACTGTTGCACAGATTTAAAGTTTGGTTTCTTCAAAGGGAAAATGTAAACAATGTAAATATGTCTGGAAAAATGACTGAATTCCTCTCAGCTGACTGACACTTTAACACTGGGTCTCAGATTTCATTAATCAGCTGTGAAAACAAATGTGAAGTAGGACTGATTTACCTTTTGTTTTTCCTCATGTTTATACTTTAGATTTTATACTACATCAGTGTCTGTCAGAAACTTATCTCCACAGTGAGAGGCCATTGTAATATATATTTATTTGGTAATTCTGTTTATTGTAATAGAATGTAATTCTATAAAAATGAATGAAATTCTAAGACATTTTGATAGGTTCTGTAGATGTGTTTGTATTGAGGACCTTGTACAGAATATTATATTTGATACTTCAAGCTACTTACATGTCTGCATCTTGGACTTCCTTGTGTACATAACGTCATTTGGAGTTATAGGTATGATTTAAGAAAGTAAACTTAAAAAAGGCACACATTAAAAAAGTGTTTCTGTAGATTACCGGTAAGTCATTTTTTTGTTCCTGTTGAGTGTTCTGAAATGTGGCAAAATATTTAAGACCAACAACATTGCTGCGTAGTTAGGCTTTGTTCTTATTTGATGTTCATAAGCTAGACTTTTGTGACTTCTATTTAATTTCAACAGATTTTTCTGGGATGTTAAAAGTTTTCGCAAAAAGAGATGTAATCTAAACATCCGCTAACTGCTGCATTGTTTGTCTGAACTCTTAAGGTTTTATTGATCTAGCGCAGCTCTTCTGGTGTTAACTATCGGGTTCCTAAAACGTAATGTGCGATTTTTATTTTCAGGTTGGTTAAAATATTAAAAAGGACTTTTTGCTTTCTTTTTCTTTCTTTTTAATGGGAAAATAAATATAATTTGTAATATATCAAATCTAGCTTGCAGTGATAAAGCTCTAATGCAATATTTGATATTAAATGACGACTTCCTGATGTTAGCAACTGTCACTGGTTTGTTTGGATTCATTGAGTTTGTTTTTAATTTTAATGTTTTATTTCACCATATTAAAAAAAAAAAAAAAAAGAATCTGAAAAAAAAAAGGTGATTTAGGTTTCAATTTTAGTGTTATTAACCTAGAATACATACTAGCTTGTGGTGTATCTCCCCAGCTAAGAATGGAAACATTATTTTGAGATTAATTAGTATTTAATTAAAAATAATTCAAACCAAATTTGGCAAATCGCAATGACATAAATGTCAACATCTATGATATATATATAAAAAAAAAAAAAAGTCAAACAATCCTTTTGAACCATTGCTGGATTGGAAATCTACTTTGGTATCTATATTTTGATTTATACTGAAACAATAAAATATCAAACAGCTAGATAAATTTTTGTTTTTTAAACCCAAATGACCAGAAAATCTCTAAAATATAGGTGTATTTTTGAATTAAATTAAATATTTAATGAAAGACCACATAAGGTGTTATCCCTTGTGACCTCAAAAGATTTTTAAACATCTATAGCAAAAAAAGTACATTCCCCAAAAACTAATTAGCACTTAAATATTATTTTTTGTAAATTGCTAACAAACTGGGTTTAAAAGTTAAAGTTTGCAAAAAAAGGGGCTCTTACCAACATAATGAATGAAAGCTGATTTTTTTCAGAGTATAACACCTTATATCATCTCAATGTCAGACTAAATTCAACTTAAATTAGTCTTATTCTTCAATAACATGAAACGATGTGATTGAATTTAGATCTTATGAAGTCCAATGTCATCTTGATTCTTAAACTGGAAAAATTTAGCTTATTGGTTTAAAACAGAATCCATCAAAGCTCAGTCTATTGCATTTAATTATACAGAACACCCTCCTCCGGACAAAGTATGTCGGTCAAAAAAAGAGGAAAAACCTGTTCAAAAACACCCAGAATCAGCATGCAAGGCCGCCTACCTAGACCCTCTGAGGTAAGGAACAAAAAAAAAAAACAAAGGAGCATTTTTCTATGTGTTCCATTCATTGCAAAACAAAGAGATTCCCTGTTGTTTTAAGGGAACAATGCCTCAGTGAATTCACCAGAGCCTTGTGTTAACATGCATCCTTTCATCTGGTTAGAGATAGTTGGGCAGAAAAGTTTGATAAAACTCAAGATGCTTCTAGAACATTTTTAATCTACTGTTGTTTTTTTTCGTCTTTTTTTTTCATAGCTGTAGATGCAAATAACTGCTAGCCTAAGTTCAAGCTACCCCTACTGGTCTGAATAGACATAAGTATCGATTTACCTTCAACAAAATTGCTTGCATTCTACAAGTAGCTATTAATCAATTACAAGTACAAAGGAAACTGTCATTTGTCATGTCTTCCTCAGTGCAAGCGAGGAAAGTCACTGTCAGTTCAGTCCTAACAGTCCTGTCAGTCCTGGGATTAACCTTTCAACGAGTTAATGTTTTAAGAATAACACCTCAGTCTTGTTTAGTTTAGAATGATAACTTCAGGCAGTTAAGGAATTCTGCTCATCTGGTATTTCGAAATTTCATCCCTGGTGAATGAGCTTCCAAGTCTGGGTTAATAAAAACAAACCGGTTATTTCTAGTTCTCTCCATTAATTCCCAATCAGATTCAAATCAGGATTCTGGTTGGGCAGCTCTAACATATTAATATTAATCCCTGTTGGTGTGTCTAAAAAAATGACTGGTAAACCATCTTAAACACTGATGGATACAAGTTTATAGTTATAGGTGAGTATTTTTGTTTTTATTCCAATCAAGCCTACATTCATTCTTTTACTGAAGGAGAAGGCTCCAAGATATTGCTGACTTGGATTGAAGCGTGGGAAGAAATTCAGCTTTTAAGAGGCTTTTTAAGTCCTTCTCTTGCACATACCATCTTATGTTTATTGGGCTGCAGTTGGCATCACTGAGAGCCTTAATTCAGATGATCTGGCCCAGTGAGATTAACATATATATCCAAGCTCATCAGGATCTGTTGATTAAAAACTAAATTTATCGCTTCCAACCTCAGCAGTGTTGGAGTTTTAGGAAAAACTCTGCTTGTCCTCCTAAATAAAATCTGGCAACCCTTTCGATAGAAATTATTTTTTTGCATTTGTGATAACATGAAACTGTAAAGAAATTGAAGCAAATTGTTCGCAAACTTTTTTGATTGTGTTTTTATTGTATTTAATTGTTTTCTTTATCATTTTAAAAATATCAATGTTTGGAAGTCTTTCACCCTGGTTATGATCCATCAGCTGAAAATGCTTGCCATTTCTTTCTCGGTTTAGGATTTTCTCAGGGGCTTAGGTCACCTCACTTTTTTGTTTTTTTTTCCAAAAGTGACCAGGCAGTAAAAAGCCCTGCTTGTACAGAGTAGGAGCTTTGTTACACAATACAACAATGCATTCCAGTTATGGAAGGTACCACAGATTTCTGTTAGCTTTACTAGTCACCCTTTAGATGAATCAAAGAATAAAGAAAAAAAAAAAAAAAAAAATCTGTATTTTTATGTACTAAGTTAATTAGGTTTTATTAAAATAACTATATTCATCCAACAACTTCTATTTCCCATAAGCAAATGGAAATGTTATTTCCCCTAACTTGGTTTCCTGGCTGGCTTCTATGTTGTTTTGTTAATTCATAGAATTTATCTGCATGCAGATTTTTTAAAGGCATTTATATTGATTAGCACATACTGTACCTGGACCTGCATTAATACTGCCACAGAGCTGCTTGAATGAGAGCTTGTAATGTTTGAGACTCTAATCCTTCGTTCTACAGCCTCTTGCATGGAGGCTTAAGATTGTTTTGATCTCTGTTGAGTAACTAACTGCTCTGTCTGCAGATCCAGCCTGAATGCTGGTTCAATCAGCTACAGGATTATCCTGCTCCCAGAGTGTGCAGCCCGAACAGACCTCAGAGGCACAGCTGAGAGCAGCCATGGCCAACAGGACGCAGGTAAGCAGAAGATGGAAAAAGTACCCTGATGAGTATGTTTGTTTTGTTAGACAGATAAGTCATTAACTGTTGTTTGAATTTAGCTTAATTTGTATAAAGAAAGTAAGCTTAATTGGTTTTCAAATTAGTTACAAAACAGTTATGTTTATCTACATCAAAAAAAAAAAAAAAAAACATGCTGTTTGGTGACCTACGGATTCAGATACATGTACCATTAACAATAGATTAAGAATGTATCTAAACATTACAGCATGGCTGAATTATCCAATATTGATCTGATCTCCAAATATCAACTACAGAACTTATTTATGCATGGTAGACTTCCAGCACACATATTTGGGAATCTGCTGTATTTGGGAACTATGGCAACAACAGCATCATATTGAGATCCAAGGAAACAGCTGCAATCATTATGTAAATATGAAGGTTCAGGATGCTAGACAAAACTGACAAGAGGCATTTTTTTTTTTATATTTGAACATTTTGTGTGAGAAACAATCCACTAGTGGAGCCCTTCACTCTTCAAGGCCAACAGCTTCTATTAAACATCACAGCAGCCCAACAAAGGAATGGACGTAATGAATATTACAACCATGAATAAAACAGAATGCCTGTTATTTTTTGTAGAAAAAAAAAATTGCATTAGGAAATTCTAACTACATATGAAACTTAGAATCACAGGAGCCAAGAGAACATGACATGGATGTGATTTCTTGCTCTATGAGATCTTGCATTACTTTTATTTCCCTGCAGCCTCTTGGATTTGTGTCTGGATTGTTGTCCAGAGATTCCAGTCATGTACGGATGTGAGTCCAGGGTTCTTATGTAACATGGAGGTTCAAAGCTTCTATTCAGTAATTCCTGTTGGCTGTTTCATGCTTACAAAGCTACCAACAGTTAAGTGTCAAATTACGGACATGATTCCTCTTTCTTCAGAAACCATTCATTTCCTTTAAACCGTTCCACATTTTGACACATGAGAGACAACAGCTTTATTGTACATCATTGCGTTTTATATGAGTGAAACTTTAATTACTACAAATTTTGTGAAAATCTGAAATCTGAACTTGTTAGTGCAATTATGGAAACCATTCAGGTTGCTCAGTCTGGACTAAGCTCAGTCTGTATTCATTGTACCTCCAGCATGTCTCTATCTATTTTCTCATCAACTCTGACTTGTTTATATCAGCTAAAAGGAAAGACTCCCGTAGCATGACACTGCCAACACCATGCTTTGCAGTGGGGCATGTGTGTTCACGGTTAAATGTTGTGTCACAGTGTCTCAGGATGAATTTTGAAAATGAGTCTCATTCAGCCACCCTCTCCCATGTGTTTAATGTGATCCCTGCATGGCAACATTTCTGCAATCTTTTATTTCGCCTGTCCATAAAGACTACATTTGTGGACAAAACAACTAATATTTGTCATTTCCACAAATTGTTCATCCCGTATTTAAGTGACTGGTAATTAGAGATGAAGTTATTAATTAATGAATTAATCTAAAGCTGATTGCGCTTATCCATCGACTAACAATTAATTGATTAGTGAACTTTTTTAAAAACCTGAATTTTTGTCTTTCAATAACAGGCGAAAAATATTTTTTCACAATATTCTGAATCAAAACATGGAACATCCTTATAATGTGTTGTGTGACCTGTATTAAATACAGACTGAATAAAGGAAATGCTTTCTTTAAAATAATTTTACTTAAAATATATTGTTAAGGAAAGCTCTGTGTTTACACCTTGAAGCTTTCTCACTCCGGTTCTTTTCCTGAGAAGAGAAAAGCACTTTAAATAACACTTCATAATGTATGTGTAATAAATAACAATGAGATATGTCAACAGATTTTGACATAAATTGTAATCTTACTCAGATCAGAGAAGTTGCTTGGGGTTATAGAAGGCAGCGCTTATCGAGTTGCCCTGAATGACAGTTAGAGAAGCATCTCCAGTCTACCACATCATCACATCATTACATCATACACGTTTGCAGGTGAGGACACGTCCATGGCTCCAGTCAAAATATAACACTTTGTTCTTAGATCAAGAACACCGCTCTCATACAATTCCCCAAATCTTTCCCTCATACATAATGAAGATGACTTTTTATTAACTGACTTAATAAATTTATGAAATGTCCTAATTAGATAAACTACCTGGCAAAACATCAGTTCTGACACATAACAGGAAGGTATTATTAGGGTTTAACAGACTTGTACAACATTCAATAAAAAATATTCCTAACAATATAACAAAATAGGAGCCTGGTTATTGATGTACAGGGTATGAAACTATTATTAAAAAGAAGGATATGTCACCTATAGACATGCAATCAGAGCCTCTTCATTTAAATGAAGTGGA